TTTCACGCCGAGTCTCTGAGATCCGAGGTGCGTTTTAGGCTTCAGCAAGGCTCGTTTTGGGCCGGCCGCACTCAGGCACTCTGGAGCCCCATGTGGCTCATGGCTGCCCTGGTGGACAGCACAGCTGCGCGTGCTTCTCCTTCAGAGCTCGAGGGTTTTACTGCCACCTGCTAGGAGGGCCCTCAGAGGCACTCAGCATGCCCAGAGGTAGCCCATGCATAATTGCAAAGCCAGTCTTGGAGAAGGAGCGGAATGGTAAAACCATCATGAGGGATCCCGTGTCCCATTATCACAGTGTCAGCGTGACAGCCTAATGGGGGGCGCGGGGCAGGGGGCTCCTGGGAGAGCTCTGCCCTGCCCTCCTCCAGGCAGGGAGAGTCTTGGCCCGAGCTCCCCAACTCCCGTGATGCTCAGGCAGGTGGCCCGGCTCATGCCAGCCCCACACCGACCCCAGAATTCTGTAAGGAAGGCGGAGCTCTGCATAGCCTCACCGCCACTCCAAGTGCTTGGGAGAGCCCCACCACAGCCCAGAGGCCAAGGCAGAGGTCCGGAAGGAACTCTCCCCTCTCCAGCGCCAGCGCAACCCACCCAGGGCTGGGTTCCAGTGCACGAAGGCTGGGACTGGCTGCTGACCACTCTGATCTCTGCCTTAACCCACAGCCCCAAGACAGGCATACTGGGGCCACTGGTTGGACTCCCAGAGCCCCGGACCCAGACCTCAGACCCCTGCCCATCTCCACTTGGCCCCAAGAACGAGTCAGCTCCGACTCCTGTGAGGTCTGGGCCAGTTCACCTCTTTATGCAGCCGAGGCCCCAGGGTGGAGGGGGTCCGGGAGAGCAAAGGGAGGAACCAGGAGAGGCCGAAGCAGTCCAGATTCGCGGTCGTCTGTCTTTTCACTCTCATCCCCTTATAAGTCTGGACCACCTTTACCCTTTGGCAGGAGTTCAGAGGGTGTCGGCTCAGCGGCCCAACTCTGCAGAGGAGAGAGGCTCTGAGGTCAGACAGACAGAGAGCCGTGAGGCAAGACAGCTCCCAGCTGGGGCTCCTCATCTGACTCCAGCTCACAAAGAAGGGGGGAGGGGCAGGGGGCCTCCGTGGACAGCGGTGCTTCTCCTCTGACCGCGCAAGGGAACTCATGCATGACTCATTAAATGTCGTGAGAATGCATCTTGACATAAAATACGACCTTGACCTCCATCCTTGAGGCTGCTGACGCCCCCAGGACAGAAAGCTAGTACTGACATGACCCCACTGACCTGCCACCATCCTGATACTGTCACCCCCGACGTGCCTGTGCTGGAGGGCCGTTCCTGATGTAAATTTTCATTTTAACCTGACCTCCTCAGAAAAGGAGGGGGAAAGATGTCTCCTCTAAGCAGTGCCCTCAGGGCTCAGGATTTGTACCGAGATTAGGACTTGCCTCCCCTCCTGTCTCTCTCCCTCCCTCCCAAGGCAGCACATGTGGGGAGAGCGGAGAGCAGCTCCAGGTGGATCGATATGCTGGGCGGAAGCGGTGAAGTCCCGGGGCCCCGACCCCCTGTCGCCACCCTCATCGGGCTGCTCCTCCCCTCCTGCGCCGCGAGGGGGACAGCAGCCACGTTCTTCCAGGTTGGCTCTGGCGCCCGGTTCCCCTGTGACCCCCAGGTCTTCTTCCCTGGGCTTGGACGTCCCGAGACAGGGATCTCCCCATCTGCCCCCCTGCCCCTCCGCAGCTCATGTGGCTGTTAGGCAGTTCTTTCCGTGGTAGTAATTTGTGTCCTGTAAGTTCCACCCGGTGGCCCCCTGGACTGGGTTTTACTGCCTGCAGGACCGTAACTGCTGGCTCAGAGCGCAATCCCCAGATGCCCAGAATAGTATCTGCACGGTGGGCTCTCAGTACATCCTTGCTGAATGAACGAATGAACGAATGGTCCTGGTGAGCCCCTTGAGCCACACAAAACAAGCGCAGTTGTTCTTACGTGGGCTGTTACCGCAGATATTAAAAAAGAGGTCTCCTGATCCCCCACGTCACCTGGCAGCTGCATCTTCCGAGGCCGTCAGCCACTCCTCGTGTGACATGTGTCAGGCCCTCCCCCCTCCCCCCACAGCATCGTCCCCAGCAGCTCGCTGCACCTCCTCACCCCTTGGAGCATGACTCCGGTGCAGGATGCGGGTGGATGCAGGTGGATGCGGACTGCTACCCTGTCCGTCACGTGGGCTCCCTGAGCACGGCCCCCGTGAGGCTCAGAGAGAAGCCCAGCCCGCCCTGCCCTCGGGGAACTGTGAGGCCTGCTCACCCAGACGTCAGGACCGCTCGCGCCCTGTCCCCCTCTCCCAAGCGGCCACCCCCGCCTCCCACACGGCCGCGACCAGGTGGCGCGAGCTGCCAGTGGCCGCGCCCGAGCCCTGGGCATCCTGTGTGCACTGAGAGCCCTGCTCTCTGCCGAACTTCCTGGCTGCGTTTGTCGCTCACAACCTGTCATCCTCATTTCATCTTGATTTATTATCAGACCTAATGAGTTTTTGGAGCAGCTATCTCCCAGGGACGGGACGATCAATCTTAGGAGATGGCTGTTGAACTCTGCTTCCCCGGCAATGCGTGGAGGGAAGGGCCGGGAGCAGAGGACTGTGGTCCAGAGGGTAGGGCCGGGCGGCCCTGGTGCCAGGACCCCTCCCTCAAGGTCAGAGCTGCCGGTCAGGGCTGGCCAGACAGCTCGCCTTGAAGTCAGCGAGCCAGTTTCTGCCTGCGTTTCTTACAGCCTCTTGGAGATGTAGGGCTGAGGAGATGAGCAGAGAAGCATCAGCTCAGCCAGCATCCCAGCTGCAGGCAGCAGTGATGAGCTCATGTCCCAACAGCCAACTTCTCCCTGCCTCCTCCACGCCCACCAGACCCAGGGCCCCGTGGCCGAGCAACAGACAGGATTTCCCCACTTGCCTCTTTGCCAGTCCGCGCTGGCCTCGGCCTGGGCCAGGAGTAGCGCCGGGTCACCGGGGGACACTCCGCTAGCGGCACGACAGGATCGAGCTCTTGTCTTACAGCAGCTGCCCCCTTTGCCCCGACCCTGGTGGCCCACCTCTGCTGGCAGAGGCGCCAGCTGCAGCCTCGTGAACAGCTAATCGGCAGGCGGCCCGCCCGCTCAGCTCTGCTTCGTAACCCTTTCCGGCCCAGGACAGACTGCCTGGCACACGGGGGACTCCGCCTCCACCCCGTCCACCGTCTCCCCTGGGTGCTGCCCTCACACCCTGCCCCAGTGCACTTCCTGGGTGCGGTTCTGCCACACAGATCTCTGGCCCGCACACCCCTCCTGCACCCACCCTGAGAAATGTGACGAGCCAGACTGCCAGGGTCCTGAGCGTCCCCGAGGAAACAGGGAGGCCCTCACGGGGTGTCCTGTCCCGGGCCCGAGAGGGTTCAGCCAGAGGCAGCTCCTCTGGGAGGGACTGGGTCACCGCTTGCCCCTTGACTGACCACAGCTGGTGGGATTTGTGACGCCCCTCCGTCGTGGGGCCCTCGGAATCAGGAGCGGCAGGGCCGGAGTCGGATGAGAGCATCAGAAACAAATGATCGTCTTTATCGGCAGTTTCCACAGGCCTGTTCCCGTGCTCCCCTCCCCCGATCCTGTCCGCAGCAGTGTCAGCAGCTCTGACGAGAAGTGACAGATGACATTTCCGTTGAGCCCACTTCCAAGTGTCATTGTGGGAAAACATTGGTCTGGCTTCCCGTGAATCCTGGAAGAAAGGCCTCTTCCTTCCAGGGAGCGGGGAGGGTATGACGTGGCCCGAGGGGACAGTGGGGAGACCCCCAGCCTCCCACTCGGGAGGAGCCCTGAGCTTCCCATGGGCTGGCAGGCAGTCTCTTCAGCCACTGTTCCTTCACGCTCGCCTGCGTCACTCCCCGAGAAATGTCAGGTGTCGTGGGCTTTACCTGAGCGATGGGGGCCCGGGCTGGAGGGGCTGTCAGGTCTGGTCTGAACAGAGACAGCAGCGGTTTCTGGACTCCAACGCTGGAGACAGGGACACCGGTGGTCCCTGCGTGTGCCGAGTGGCTAAGGGTGGCAGTTCTGGGAGATCTGGATAACAGATGCAAGAAGCCAGAGACTCAGAGAGAGGCTGCTGGATCTGGAAGTATGTCTGTCTGCTGGGAGCAGCGGCTGGGAAGCCCGGCTCTGGGTATGAGACCCACAGGAGGGCCGCTGTAAGAGGTGCAGCTGGCCTGGAGCTCTGTTTGCTCTGAACAGATAGATCGTGGGTCCCCTACCGCTTCTGCAGCAAAGCCAGGTCAGAGTTACTCCCTGTACTTCTGTGCCTCCTACCTGTGCCACCAGGCCCAGGAGAACAGAGCCACATGCCCTTGGCCTCCAGCCTTGGACTCAGCTCCCACGATCCTTGAGCTTTGGTGCCATTTCTTCCCTCGAGTGAGCCCAGGTACCTTCCTTCCCGGTGTTGGCCCCTGGGTGCCTGCCTCCGCTCGGGGCTGCCCGCGCTCTTCACTGCCGCCCCTTAGCTGTCCCTGGCAGATGCCCTGGCCCAGGAGGACACCTCCTCCCAAGTGCTCCGTGCCTCCGCCCCTGCTCCTCAGACACACATTCTTGAAACCAAAGGAGAGTCAGGAAGCTGGCAGGAAGCCCCCCAACCCCCAGACCCCTGGGGCCGGTCAGGGAGCCGGGAAGCGCCTGGCCAGGAGCCTGCGCTCCTCTGAGAAGACAGCGGGGTGGCTCCGCTGCCGATCTCCCTGCGCAGCCCCCGTCATGCCCGGCCCTCACCCCCAGACACCTTCCCTCACCTGCTGGCGTGGGCGTGCACGGCATGTCCCCGACAGCAGCGGCCACTGCTGACCTGCCCCAGAGTGTGACCCTCACGGCCACAGGAATTTAACCCTTAGAACCCATCCACAGACTCTAGCAGAACCCGCAGGTTCTCTCTCATGGGGCTCGGGTCCCTCGGCAGGTGCCCCCAGACCAGAGGCTGTCCCAGGTAGGTCTGCCTCTCCTTCCCTGACTCACTCCCCTCCTGTTTCCAGCTTTCGCCATCATGATCGTGCTGGCCCTGGTGCGCATCGGACATGGGCGTGGGGAGGGGCGCCCGCCGCTGGCCGACTTCTCCGGCGTCCGGAACCTGTTCGGCGTGTGCATCTACTCCTTCATGAGCCAGCACTCCCTGCCGTCCCTCATCACCCCCATCTCCTCCAAGCGCCACCTCACACGCCTGGTCTTCTTGGACTACGTGCTGATCCTGGCTTTCTACGGCCTCCTCTCCTTCACCGCCATCTTCTGCTTCCGTGGTGACAGCCTCCTGGACATGTACACCCTCAACTTTGCACGCTGCGACGTCGTGGGCCTGGCCGCCGTGCGCTTCTTCCTGGGCCTCTTCCCCGTCTTCACCATCAGCACCAACTTCCCCATCATCGCCGTGACACTGCGCAACAACTGGAAGACACTTTTCCACCGAGAGGGGGGCACATACCCCTGGGTGGTGGACCACGTGGTGTTCCCCACCATCACCCTGCTGCCCCCTGTGCTGGTGGCCTTCTGCACACACGACCTGGAGTCCCTGGTGGGCATCACGGGGGCCTACGCGGGCACGGGCATCCAGTACGTCATCCCCGCCTTCCTGGTGTACCTCTGCCGCAAGGACACCCAGCTGGCCTTCGGCTACGGGACCGTCAACAAGCACGGGTCCCCTTTCCGCCGCACCTTCTGGGTGGGCTTTGTGCTGCTCTGGGCTTTCTCCTGCTTCTTCTTTGTCACCGCCAACATCGTCCTCAGCGAGACTAAGCTCTGATGGCAGGACAAGTCTGGTGACGAGAGGGGTGGGGCCCCCCCGCCCTCCCCGCTGGCAGAGCCAAGGGCTAGTTGCCTCCCAGGTGTCCGTGGGGCAGGCAAGGCCCGGGCTCTTGGAGGGTACCCTCCACGCCTCCAGCTGGGGGGCTCCCCCACCCAGGATTCCGCACAGTCTGCACCTCGCCTCACTTGCCGGGGTCACCCTCCTCCAGGTCCTCGTGCTGGGGCTGCCCCCAGCCAGCCGAGTCCCACAACCGGGCACACGGCTGCTCCTAGATTCTAGGACTGGTTACTGGGATCGAGCCCTCTGCTTTCACACACTCCACCACCAGGGCGGGCTCTTCCCCCGGAAGGGTGGAGACGCAGTGCTGGCACTGCCACTATGCCAGACACGTGTCCCCCCCACCCCTTACCCCGCTCTCCCAGTCCCTCCCGCATCCTTGTCTGGGAAATCTCCATTAGGGCAACCCCAGGTCCTACCCCTCCTCTCCACTGGGCCTGGCAGGGCTCACCTTCCCACCGGGCCTGGAGGTGCCGAGTGCCTCTCCTAGGGGAGTGCCTGGCCAGCTGACAACAAGGACCATAAGTGCTACTTGGCACCAGGGTCCCCAGACCAGAGCTGGGAGGTGCCAGCTCCTGTCCTGGGCTTCGGAGCCCATGATGACTCCAGAGCAGCGGGTGGGAGCAGCCTTTCCACACGGGCACAGCAGCCCACGCACGGGGTTTAAAGCCCAGAGCTCTCGACCCCTGAAAGGGCGCCTCAGGCTTCCTGCGGGGGGGGCGGGGGGGAGCAGCGTACAAGGGCCACCAGAGGGGAGCTACCCCCAGCTGTCACCACAGTGGCCTGGGAGCACCCCGGGCATGGAGCCCGTGGTTCCCACCCTGTGAGAGAGGTCGGGCCTGCCCCCCCCCCCCAGCACATGGAGCAGAAGCTCTTACCTTACAGAAAAAACCCTTAGAACCCATACACAGACTCTAGCAAAACCCTAACCATCTACATTTCAGTCTGAATAAAGCACAGCTGTGGGAGTGCCCGGCCCTGCCCCCGCTCCAACACTAACAGTGGCTCCCTTTGGAGCCGAGCTGTGCGTGCTCAGCGTCCACGCTCTCCATGTCCCTTGGGCGCTGTGGGGTGAGACGGGGCCCCGGCCACCATTCCCATGGAAGGAGAGCCAGGTTCCTGGGCACGTCACCAGCTCCACGTGCTCCCCTCCCCCCCAACAATCATGCATGCACCTGCTGGGCCAGCCTTCCTCGGAGACACATGGGACCCTAAAGAACTCTGCATTTTCAATGTGCCTTCTCCTGCGTCAGGGCCTGGGGGCTCCTCCTGACCCTCCCTCGTGTGGCCCCGGCCCTGGGCCTAAGCCCACTTGTCCTGGAGCCCACAGCAGCTGGGCCAGGAGCAGCCTCTGGGGTGGGGTCTCGGCCCTTCCCCCTCCCTCCGCTGATTTCAGTGCCTTGCTCCTCTCTCCAGGGAACCCCTTGCGGCCTTCCCCCTGCATCTCACCGTCATTGAACTTTGGACAGAGCGAGGACGCCAGGTCTCCTGGGGCCCACGATGGTCTCAGGGCAGGGGGACATGGGATTTGCAAGAACACGGGGAGTCCGCAGGCAGCCCCAGCCCTCCCCTATGGCCCCCTGGCAGCCCCGGCCTGTGAGAGTCCCGTGTCATAATCGGCCGCGATCTGCCGCACATCTTCAGTTTTGCCGCACATCTTCAGTTCTCACAGCTCATCCGGCGTATTGTTATTTTTCCATCCTCGTGAAAGAAGGACGCCTCTTCCCCATTTGCCATCGTGGCTGCTTCCCAGGAGGCCTTGCGGGGTGGGCGGGGCCGGGGGCCTCCACGAGGCCCCGCCCCGCGTGGCACGGACCCCGCCGGAAGCTGCCGGGCTGCTTGCTGAAAATTAAAACATCTGTACTTACCCTTCTCCAATTACATTCCCTCTTGCTTAAGGACAAAGCAAATTAAATCATCCCACCGCCTCAGGTTCCAATCCAAATTTTGGACACAAATTTACTAGCATGGTAAAGCCAGTTTGATTTATGGGGCAGTCTGGAGCCACACAGCAGTGGAGCCGGATGGCTGCATTCCCCTCCACCTCCGACCTGGGCAACCACAGTCCTGGAAGGAATTGGCCGGAGGTGATTGGCCGTGGTCCTGGAAGGACCACGTCACTGGGTTCCTTTGCTCCTTGGTGTTTGCCTGCTGTCTGTCGTGCTAGAGGTCAGATGGGGTCAGCTTCCTCTCTACTGCTGATGGCCTGGGGGAGGGGGCGCGGGGACCCTGACAGCTAGACGTTCCCAGGTGAGGCTTGTTCACCTTGCCCATGCAGCACATTCGCCTGTGAGTTTTTACATCAGCTTGCGGGGGTGGGCCAGTTGGGTCATGGTTTCTGTTCTACCGATGGGCCCTGTGGTCTGTGGTGGGGAAACCAGAAGAGGATGCCAGCCCAACCTGGCCCAGGTACAAGTGTCGCTGTGGAGAAGAACATAAACTCAGCAGGCTCCACCCGACGCCATTCACCCGCACTGACCCAGACTGGCCCCGAGGGCAGGGCAGGTCAAGGTGGGAGGCAGCCTTCTCTGTCTCGTTCCCTGCCAAGGCACTGGAGCCTCGTGCCATCGCACCAGCGGCTCCTGGCTGTTCCCTCACCTGAGGCCAGAGAGATGACTGCGGGCTTATGGATGGGACAGATGGCGGGTGACAGGCCGGGAGGCACTGCCGAGTGGTGGGAGGTGGGCAGCGGGCACCTCGCCAGGCCCTCAGACACACACCTGTTCCCGCCAGATGGGGGCCAGGAGCGGCCTCAGCAATGGGAAGAGGCTAAAGTCAGAGTGGGGGGAGGGCAGGGGCTGCCCCTACCTCATGGGGAACCAGCCCAGGGGAAGAGCCTGGTGTGTGTGTGTGACACTGAGCCAGCGAAGGCTGAGGCCATGCCTGTCTAGGGACCGGATCCCTGATCAGGGCTGACACCCGGCTCTTGCGCAACCAGGATCCAGAGCTGCAGGAGGGAGCTTCACGATCCCTTCTCCCCAGGGCCTGGGGCTCATGGTGTCGATTGGAGAAAGGGGAAAGTGACATCTACTAGTGCCTGGTGTATGCGGGCACAGTGCTGGGCACTTTCCCCGTGGACCTTGGTGGCATAACTCACGGGTTAAGAGCGTAGACCGAGAAGTCGGACGTGCCACTTGCAGGCAGCAAAGCCCGTGCTCTCTCCTCCTGTCCTTTGTAACATGGGGAGGATAGTACCTGCATCACTGACCTGTATGGGGCTAAAGTCCTGAGTACCTGACACAGAAGTGTTCAATAAAGCTCTCAGGTGCTGATGCCCAGCTCCCTTGTCCCTTGCCAGCCATACTGCACGTGTACCACATACCTCTAGACTCGTTGAAGACCCTGGTTTAGGTCCTCAGGCACCTAACCGGTTTCATAGCCTCCTGATGAGCAAAGTGGCTTCTTCTTAGCAACTGCCTGCCACAATTCAGAGGCGGGAAATGGACTTGAATTCTTTAGGGCTTTGGGGAGGGGGTGGTCTCTGGTTCCCCAACACCCCCAGGAAACTGAAGGACAGCCTTCCCCCATCACAGAGCCAGACTCAGGCCAGGCTGGGGAGTTTTGGAGCCAAGACTGAAGCTCAAGTATCGTAAGTGAGGGCATCGTGCCCCCTCCCCACACACGGGCCCCAGGAAAGAGGTGGTGTGGACCATGAACTCAGTAAAGACAGAGGAAGAAACACAGCGATGGCAGCAGCAGGAGGGAACGGGGAAAGATAGTAGGAATTTCTACTGCTGAGATGTGACCAAAGGCCTCTCCCTGTGTCCCACAAAAAACAAAAAAAAACAGCATTTGGGTATCTGGTGTCTGGGTTCAGCTGGCTGTGCTACACTGTCACACCCTTGTGTGTGATGACTGAACATCTGTGGCTTCACTCTCCCACACAGCCGGCCCCCTCCTCCCCTGCCAGGCTCTCTGTCCTCCCCTTGATAATGCAGGACCCTTCCTCGGTCCTCCCGCAGAGGGGCAGGAGGCATCCTTCCTGCCCCCACTCCCCATGGGACTCGCTTCTCCTCAGAATACATTCTTAGAGAAGGAGCAAGGTGGCCAGGAGCCCGGCCCCAGGAGCAGGATTGGCCCCTCCTCAGAGCCAGTCAGCAGCAGGCTCAGCTCTACATGTGGTTCTTAATTATCTTTCCAGTTCTTGGTTATTAATGATCTTGGAGAGTGAGCAGAGAGCAGCCTGGCCCTCGCAACTCCTCCAGGCGTTACCTGCTGCAGCCTTCCACCCAGCGCTGCGCTCAGACCGTGACCCAGGGAGCTCAGGTCCAGGGGCTGGTGGCCAGCGGTTAACCCTCTCACCTCCAGTGGCTGCAACCAAGGTCAAGCTCCCTTCCGCGGCACTGGCCTCTAGCACCCCCCTTAGACTCACACTCACAACCTGTTTTTGAGCCCCCCCCCCCACCGATCCTGGACCTGGATCCGTGAAAATCCATGGGGCAGAGAATGTGAAATTGACTATAATGGGCTGGGGGGGGCACACATTCTTGCGGTTGTCAGGCCCTCCACCCAGGAACGGAAGGGTACTGGTAATTTCCGCCACTCTACCATTTCAGCGGCTCTCACCCCTAAAACCAAACAAAAAAACTTCCAGTTTTCATGGCTCCAGCCCCAGCAGTAGAATATTTGGAGACTGGAGAGGGGACCCAGCCTGCTGGGAGCCAGCAAGGAGCCATGTGGGTAAGGGCACTGGGCCGTGGCCACACGTGGTACTGGCATCCAGCACTGCCCTCCCCAGCCCCCTCCCTACTACAAGGAGTTAAGTTTCTGCCCTGCTTCACCCAAATTGCCGGGGACAACAAGGCCTTGGGCTTCACAGGCTCACAGTTAGAAAAGGCTCTAACGGTATCAATTATGCTCACCGTGTTTGCGGAATGGATGGAAGGAGGGCTGGCTTGCTTTAGTCATTGTGGGGCTAAATGTAACCACAGAGGTGAAAGCATTGAAAATGGTAAGCAAGAGCCATCTTTTTAGATGGTTCACAGCCAGTGACATGTGACAGAGGAAGGAGGTGGGGCTGAGAGCCGCAGAGGGAGGACAGAGAACTGAGATGTGGGACAGATTCTCTGACCTGGAGGTCTTTCCCTCCCAAGGCTGAGCCGTGCCTGACCCCGGAAGCCACCCATGCCAGGCTTCCAGAGCCAGCAGGCAGTCCAAGCCCTGCACAGCCACCGCGGGGCAAACACAGCTGGCCAGGGCCCAGGAGAGCCCAGCAGGTTCCCCACAACAGACCTCCCTCTGCCGTTTCCACCATAACATTGTCAGGCTCCCATGGGGGCCCCTGGCGGGGCAGAACCCCCAGAGCCCCTAGCATGAGCCCTTCTTTTCATGGAGATTGAAGGATGAGCTCCATCCATCACCACCAGAGCCCCCGTGCTGAGCACATTTGTCTCATTTGGCACCAGGGCGGGCGGGAGCTGGCACTGAATACCAAGTGGCTTCTGCTGCCTGGAGCCCTCTCTCAGCCTTGCCTCCTGGATACTCCACAAAGGGAGCTGCCCACCTGCTCTAGGCAGACACCCCATCTGGGATACTCCCATGATGCTCCTGTTGCCTACCAGCTCTGGGGTGCCCCCTCCAGGGATGCAGAATGAGGCAGCCAGGACCAGTGGGTTGTACAAGGTTTGTTTAATGTCCCAGCACTCTGAGGAGAAGAAACTCCAGCCAGCTGGAGCCAGGAGCAGGACCACCCTGCCCCAACACCGAGCTCCAGCCTCCATGCTCCCACACCAAGCCCCCAGAAGCCATGTCCAGGGACTGGCTCACAACAGGGCAGGGAGACCCCACTGCTCCCTGTGACTCCAGGCCAGGTGGGAAGGGATCTGCATAAGAAGGTAGCAAAAGCCCAGCCCACACCAGGACCTGAGGCTGCTGAGGTCGCTGAGCTGGCCGTGGAAGATATCATCTGTCACTGGGCTCCCATGGCCAGGATTTCATGGCAGAAGCCAGAAAAGCCCGAGCCCACCTACCCCCCAACGCTGCAGTGCCAGGCGGAGAGTCCAGCTGAGCAGAATAGCTGACACGTCACACTTCCGATTCCAAGCTGGAGATCCGCCTCCAGGTGCACGGTCGGGGGAAGCCGTGCATCCCACAGGCCACCCTACTGACCTCTTCCAGCCCCCCAGTGTCCCTGTATTCTGTGCTCAGCCCCAGGGTCCTGCCCCTGTGCCCCGGAGGCCCCCAAGCCCCAGGGAGCCAGGGGCCGTGGCTGACACAGGGTGGGAGGTGAGGGCAGGCAGCCCCCCAGCAAAGCGGCAGGTGGGCATGGGCGTGGAGGCAGGCGTGCTGTCCGTGCGGCCAGGGGGGGGCCCCTGCCCACACCCCCTCCTGGCAGGCCTCCCGGTAGGACGGCAGCCGCATCGACTGCGCCTGCGTCCAGCGCCCGCAGGCCGGGCGGGCACACCAGGAGGGCTCCGAGCTGGGCCGGGCGAAGGCCTCGGTCACCGAGCTGGGCAGGGAAGCGTGGCGCGGGCGCGAACCTCGGGCCCAGGCCGCGCGCAGGAGAGCCTCCCGCCGGGCCAGCTGCTCCGGCCCGAGCAGCGGCAGGTCCTCGGGCTCGGGGGTCTCCGGGAAGAGCGGAAGGAAGGGGCACCCTGACCGGTCGGCTCGAGGGAAGGAGCTGTAGTGACAGCGCTCGGGCGACTGAGGGCGCTCCGGGAGCGCGCGCCGCTCGGAGGCCGAGAGGTGCCGCCCGCCGCGCCCGGCCAGCGACGGCCACCGCGCCTCCCAGGCCGGCCGGCCAGACACCTGGGAGACGTCGGGTAGGGAGGACCCGGGCGTCGGGGGGCGGGCCGGGGGCTGCGGGGCCCTACGCCCCAGCGCGGTGCGGCCCCCGCCCGGCGGCCCGCAGCCCGTGGGGCTCGGCTCGGGGGTGGGCGGCCGCGGACTGGGGCAGGCGGGCGGCGGGGGCGCACGGCGGTCGCCGCCCCATCTCTCGATGGTGCGCGTGGCGCGGTCCAGGGAGCTGCTCACGCCCGCCGTAGTCACGATGTCGCGCGCCGCCTGCAGCATCTTGAGCACGCTGACCTGGGCCGAGCCGGCGGTGAGGTCCGGGCTGGGCGGCGGCGCGGGGCTGGCCAGGCTCTGCACCCCGCTAAAGCAGCTGTAGATGCCCTGGGCGGGAGGCAGGGGACCGACACGGTGTGAGCGGCGCCCTCCCTTCCGGGACCGCCCCACGCCCCACGCCCCACGCCCCACGCCCCACGCCCAGGTGGGAAGCATCAGCCCAGGTGTCTCTAAGTCCCAGGAAGTAACTAACATTTGTTAAGCTCCTACTGTGTGCCGCTGGGAGCGCTTACAGTGGAGCTCTCCGAGGCACCAAGAGGGTAACTCCTCCTAAAGTCACACAGCTTGTAAACGGCAGTGAGGACTCGAACCCCGGTCAGCCCGGCTCCAAAGTCCTGCCCTGCCTGCTGGAAAAGGGCTCTGCTTCTCACCTGCTGTGTGATGCTGGCAGGCCATGCCACCTCTCCAGACCTCAGTTTTTACATCTGTAAATGGGGCCATGGCCAGCTCTGACTTAGCTGGGTTGCTGCCCCTGAAGCTGGGGCCTGTCTAAGGTGGAGTGGGCACCCACCCTGCTGAAGGCCAGCAGGAAGTCCAGCCGGGACGCGTTGGGCACCGAGTGGCGCAGCTTCCGGTAGACCAGATGCTCCCAGGCGAAGACCAGCAGGGCCAGCCCCATGGCCACGAGCAGCATGTAGAAGACGCCGGCCATGTTATCGATGTCCAGCTTGCTGCTCATCACCTCGTTCTTCTCGTTCTGGCAGATCCCCGAGAGCCACACCGTCTCCAGCTTCTGGGTCTCCCCTGGTGGGGGCGAGGCACACCTGGCTCAGGAAGGACCCTTCCGGTGCTCACCCAAGCCTGGAGTGAGGAGGGGTCTGGGGCCAGGGTACCACCCCCCTGTAGGACCACACGGGGATCCAGCCTGGCAGGGGAGGATGGGGGAGGGGGTGTCAATGAGCAGGAAGGAAGGAGAGCAGAGTGGGAGCTGCGGGGGGGGGATGCCAGCCTCTGACATGCCCACCTCCCACAAGCCCACACGCCCAGCAAAGGCTTGTCGACTGCATAAATTTTATCATTCATTTATTCATCAAACACTTATTGATCACCTACACGCTAGGCATGGAGCTGGGCACACTGAGACAAAAGGCCTAGGCCCCCAAGGAGGCTGCAGGCACCTTCATGGTTATCACTCGCATTATTCTATGGCACTGATGGAAAACCAGACAGTTATTTATCTAATAGGGTTGGGACTCTAAATTCAAAGCTCTCTCTGGGTGTTGGGGCAGCCCAGCCGGACCGCTCACACATGTGAGCCCCTGGGGTACCAAGGCAAACCTGGGTTCTGGCTCTGGGATTAGGCAGGCTGTTGGCACTACCCCAGGTCATCTCAAGATGGCAATGGAGGGGAGGGGTCTTGGGGAAAAGTAAAGGAGTTCAGATGCCCCCAACCTCCACCGTGTGGCCTGAGCTCCTTCCTGTTTTCCCCTCCTGCAAGGGCTCCCCAGCTATTTCCTGCTCCCTCCCGGCAAACCAATCCCTCCCCACGTCTCCATCCAGCTGCTCCTAATACCCGCCACCCAGCCACTGCACCCATCTCTCACCCCCAGAGACCTCTCTCCGTGCCCGTGGGCCCTGGGCACTCAGAGGACAGTGGTGGAGATGTTGACCAGCCATCGGGCAGCTGTCCCGACCACGGGCTCTGTGGCCCACCTGGGACCCACCCCAGCCCCCATCAGTGGCTGCACCCACCGTCCCCCAGGAACTGCAGGAGCGCCAGGTCTATGGCCCGCTTCCAGTGGGAGTCCTTCTGCATGGCGATGCCATAGCCAGTGGTGGCAAAGACCTTGCCAGAGCCAATGGTGACCAGCTTGCAGCCCTCGTCCTTGCCCGCCATGTAGTTGAGGACAGCAGCATCATAGATGAAGGCATCCAGCTTCCTGGGGACAGGCTGAGCCCTCAGGCCAGGGATCAAGTGGGGCTCAGGGCACCAAACCTGGGTCCTGACAGGGGTCTGGGCCACGTGGGCCCACTGACCACCACCCAGGAGGGATGGATGGGCAGAGCCTTCTCTAGTTCTCTGGGGTCCTGGTGCAGAGAAGCCCCCTCCCACAGCTTCGGAACCCCACCTACCCTCCTCCTCAGAGAGGCCAGGGGACACTCTGCTCCCAGAGGACACACCCTCTCTGCCCTCCAGGCCCCTAAAGATCCTAAGAAGGTGACAACCAACACCTGAGGGCACGGCTGAACTTTGGTCAATACCACAGCTGCGTCTCTGGGCTCTGGTGGGCGTCCTCAAGCTTCACTCTGCCCCAAGACCTCCTCACCCCTTCCCCGGGGGTCCTACATGGCAACCCAGTCTCACCGTCCCACCTTGGGTCTCTCGGGGAGACACGTGGGTAGAGACAGTCAGGGGGTGGGTGCAGGACTGCGGACCCACCCCATCTTGAGGCTGCTAAGCGCGTCCTCCACTGAGCGCTGGTTGAACTTGACCATGTGGGTGTGCATTTCGCGGTAGTTGCTACGGATGTTCCGCTCCGTGCTGCCGTTGGGCACGGTGCCGAAGCGGAAGGGCGGGTACTGATCCTGAGGCCGCTGGAACTGCGCACAGAGGGCAGCCGCCATTCATAACCCCTCCTCCGACCCTCCAGCCGACCCCGGCCCCGACACCATCCCCCTAGTCTGGACTTGAATAGCGAGCGCATCACGGTCTTAGAGACTGTCCAGCCCACGCCTGTGTTTTACAAACGGGGAAACTGAGGCCGGGACAGGGAGAGACTTACTCAAGGCCACTTAGTCAGTGGACCTGAGCCGTCTCTCCCTGTCCCCGTCCCCAGCCCCCTCCTCCCCAGGCTCCCCTGCTTCTGCCTGCTCCCGCCTCCAGTTCAAATTCCACTGATTCCAACTGTCCTGTGTGCCACCCAAGGCCTCCCCCTGGCTGCGGCATCACCCCACCCTCCAACAGCACCCTCTGGAGCTCCAGAACCTTCTTGTCACTGAGGCCAGACACAGTGTCGATGTACTGCTCCTGAATCATGAAGGCGGCCAGGTTGGCAGTGTAGCTGGCGAGGAAGATGACGGCGAAGAAAGCCCAGACCAGGACCATGATCTTGCTGGTGGTGCCCCGGGGGTTCTCGATGGGCACCGAGTTGTTGAAGACCAGTGCCCAGAGAAGCCACACAGACTTGCCGATGGTGAAGGACGGGCCCCCAGACTCTGGGGGTGAAAGGGAGGACACTGGTGCTCCTCTTGCCCGGCACAGAGGGGGTCAGGTTCAGCCCACCCAACTCCACGGCTCCCGTCTCTGCTCTGTCCTGGGTGGAGACCCCATCCCTGGCTGTCCCCACCCCAGGGCACGTCAACTCACCTTGCTTCTCTCTCTCTCATGTATCTGATTGGCCCCCTGCATATTGTCGGAAGGCCAGGGACCTCCCCCACGGGGCATTCTCTGAAGGGCCCCTCTGGCCCTGAACCCACCCCTCCTGGAAGTGCCAGCCCTGCCCCTGCTCCCAGGCCCAGGTGGGAGCTGACTCTTGCCGCTGGTGAGGTTCTGGTTGTAGCTGACGGGGCTGAAGTACTCGAACATGAAGACGGTTATGGCCACCACGGTGAGGCACATGACGAACATCATTACCCACACGGCAGGGCTGTAGGGCTCTGGGGAGAGAGGCAGGAGGTTCAGAGGAGGCGGCGCTGTGTCTCCCCCCAACAGCTCAGGCGTTCTGGGTGCAGACAGGTGGGTCCATGTGGTCATATCAGCCCCGTGGACTGAGCTCAGGGGTCTCTGACTCTCAGAGCAGTGGAGCCCCAGGAGAGACGCCATCCCCCAGGGAGGTCAGGCTCCCCAGCATTCTTGGTCTCTCCCCTCCATCTGCCCTGGGCCAGGGTCCCATCACCCATCACCCACCCTAGGAAACCTCCCTTTGATTCCACATCTCCCCTGGCTCTCATTCTCCCTCTTCCTCCCACTTCCTTTCACAAAAGAGGGCCAGCACCCCATGCTCTTTCCCTTTCCCCTCCCATCCCCCCGCCCCTGCCTGCAACCTCTTCCACCCCTCAGCCCCTGAGGGTGGCCCCTTAAAGCCACAGGAGCAATCTCAGGGAATTCCCTCTGCTTTCCTCCTCTCCTTCCTCGCCGCCAGCACCGCTGCCCAGGCTCCTGGGTCTGGAACTCCACCCCCCCACACACACCCCGGGCCCAGCATGGGTGAGCTGCTCGGAATCAGAGCTCTGAAGCCAAGCCTTACCCCTCATCCTACTGACACAGAAACCGAGGCCTGAGGGGCTGGGGAGACCGACCTGAGGTTTCTGACAAAATCACTTCAGTCTCCCTGAGTGAGAAGTCGTTACTGCCCAAATCATTTGCTCCTTTGATACAACGCCCATCCTACGAAGTGGAGTTTGTTGCCTCCCCTGTGGCTGAGGAACCCTGCTCAGAGAGGTTCAGTGACTTGCCCAAGGTCACACAGCAGGAAGAGGCAGACCTGGGATTCCCTCTTCTGCTCCTGGTCGAGAGGCTCACCTGTCCTCAGGGCTCTTTGAACCATTCCACACTGCAAGTCCCACTTGAACTTCTGACTGGGCGCTCTGGGAAGGCCAGGACTATGGCCGGATCCCAGCACCTGGCACGGGACCCGGCACAAGGGAGCTGCCCAAGAAATGCTGAATTTCTAATCAAGTCAGAAACTAGCCCGGCTTCCCGTGCTCTGGGTTGGCTCCTCCAACCCCCCGTGAATCTTCTCCCTTTGTCCCAACGGCCCAGCCCAGGAGTTCCCTGGCGGTCCAGTGGTTAGGACTCTGCGCTTTCACCGCTGAGGGTGCGGGTTCAATCCCTGCTCAGGGAACTAAGATCCCGCAAGCCATGAGGCCAAAAAATGAAACAAAAAGCAATGTCGCAGCCCACGAGGCACCTCCTGAAGGCAGCCTGCCTCGCTGGTTTTCCTGTCCTTCACAATGGCGCCACCTTTTACCCCGCTCTGCCCATCCCCCGCCCTTACCGAGCACCCAGGCTTAGGACTGAACCTGGACGTCACCTCTTCCCTCTCCGTTCTACCCACCTATTATAGCTCAGGCCTCTGGCTAACCTATAAGGACCCAAGGCTGCAGTGCTGCCCTCTGAGGGTGCACCCCAAGCTCCCCATCTCCACCCATGCTCCACACGTCCACTTCGTGGGCCCCTCTGCACTATCCCTGCCCACCCCGAGCCGCACCCAGGAAGGCCGAGGGGGAGACGGTGCCGTTGCTGCGAGCCACCATCACACTGATGCCCGTCTCCACGAAGGGCACAGAGAAGTCGACAATCTCGGAGCGCTCCTCATTGATGGTGAGGGAGCCAATGGCCATGTCTGCCCGCTTGTAGTACACCTGGGGGTCAGGCCCGGATCAGAAGAGGGGCTCCCGCAGGCTGGAGGACTCCCCCACTCCTCTCCCAGCCCCACATCCAGCACCCACCAGCTGAGTCAGTTGTTCCCACTTGGGTCCTCAGAGCTCCACTTTCAGTACTGACCCCAGGGGTCATCATTGGTGCCAGCACAGTGCCCCTGCCAGTTCAGAGACCCTTAGGAGTTGGGCCTGGGTCCCACCCTGACTGATCCCCAGAACAGGAGGAAACACCTAAGGAACATCCGGGGGTGGCTGACGGATGGATGGGGCCCAGGGCAACAGGCGGGCAGGTGGGCGGGCTCAGGTGGCCTGGGGGCAGGCCTACCTCCCCGATCATGCCGTTCCACACGCCGCGCACCCTCTTGCCATGCTTGCCGTTGGTCACCAGGTACAGGTCGTAGGAGAACCTGACCACCTTGGCCAGCTTCTTGAGGATGTCGATGCAGAAGCCCTTACAGCAAAGCTTGGTGTAGGGGGCCGTGTCACCACTGCTGCCACCAAGAGACCAGCAGGGGTCAGAGCCAGCAGCTCCTCCCAGCCTGGCTGGTGGACGCCCACCCCTATACCCAAGCATAAGGCACACACAACGCCCGCCATCGCACGGCGGCACACGGCTCACACTGGGCCTCCCGGGTGTTCTCGCGGACCTGAAGGTGTGGTTGCCATGCCGGCGGCAGGGCACAGTGTTGGGCACGCAGCCGCCTGAGCCAGGGTCGGGGCTCTCCACGATGACAAAGGGTCGCTCTTCCAGCGTGGCCACCGTCAGGTGCCGGCTGTCCACCACGGGCTGCAGGGAGGCACTGTAGCGAGGCCACACCGGGTACTTCATGTGGAGGACACCATGGTCCCAGCGCCCCACCTGCAGAGGATGACCGGCCTCAGCCCGGGACCTTCAGCCCCACTAAGCCCACGCTATAGGTGGGTCCTCTGGGCGAGGCCTGCCAGGACCAAGAATCCCCCCACCACACCTAAGGTCACTCGGGGCAGGATGAAGCAGGGCCTGGGGCGGGAGCATCTGGAGAACAGGAGAGTCGGGGCAAGGGGCTGGCCAAGGGGAGGGCTCCCTACAGCCTCTCCGGCTTCTGGTCCCCGCACTTTCCAGTCCAGCCTCCACACTGCTGCTGGCTCACGGCCTCTTCCTAAAGCCCAGACCTGAGCCTGTCACACCGCACTCATTCCCCCAAGCTTCACATAAAGTCCTTAGCCCAGCACTCAAGACCCTTCACGGGTCCAATTTATCTCCATCACCCTACCCTTCTTCCCCAGTCCCCACGCCTCCAAACGCATCACTTAAAAATGCTCCAGGGGAATTCCCTGGCAGTCCAGTGGTTAAGACGCGGCACTTTCACTGCCATGGGCCCTGGTTCAATCCTTGGTCAGGGAACTAAGATCCCACAAGCTGCGTGGCATGGCAAAAACCAAAACCAAAACCAAAACAAAACAAAAAAAACCCTAAACCCTCCTTCCCCTCAGTCTATACCAGGCTACTATCCCTTCCCGATGGGCTCCTACTCAACCATCCATAGCCCAGCCCAAATGTCCCAACTTCTGTGAAGCCTTCCCCAGTTTCCTCCTTTGAAGGCAGAACTAATTTCTGCCCCTCCTCTCTATTCCCATAGTGCTTTGCAAACATTGTTTCTTAAGCACTGACCGCCCCAAATTCTATTTGTTTACGTGTCCGTCTAGCCAACACAGCTGTGGGTTACTCCTTCAGGGGCAGGACTGTGTAATAAGAGCGCTTGATAAGTTCTATAGTGAAGGGTGTTGTGGGAGCCCGGAGCAGGGCTGCCTCAGACCCCCGGGAGACCTGGAAGGCTTCTCAGTGGAAATGTTTCAGCTGAGACCTGAAGGATGAGGGGCTGGATGAGGGACAGAAAGGACTCTCTGCTCAGCTGTGGGACAAGAGGGGGGGATACAATGAAAGGATACCGAGGGCCCCTGGGCTCACCCCCTTCTCACCATCTCCCAGAGGCGGTGCCGGTTGAGGGCGATCACCACCATGGTGGGCTGGACCAGGTACCCACCAGGGCTGAAGGAGAAGTCCCGGCCCTCCCAGGTGACATTCAGTAGGTGCCTGCGAGGGGGGAGAAGCCAGGGTCCTCTTAGCCCTGATCAGGACCAGATGTGCCCTCCCCCACCTTTTGCCTCATCACCGCCACCAACAGGTAGCATTTGTGTAATGATTGTTCTGTTTCCCTGTGTTGACCCTCGAGATCCTCACCACACCCTCACACCCTGCTCTTTTCTCAGATGAAGAAACAATGGCCCAGAGAGGTGAGGTCACTTGGCCGCAGGCACACACCTAGTGGGAGGTGTGACCAGTGAGCCCAAACTCACGGCCACTCGTGGCCATCCTATGCCCTGGGCAGGTGCCCACCTGTAGAAGGCCTTCCGGGCAGGGCTGACAGGCCCAGGGTGGCCGCGGCACTCCCCAGCCGGGGCGGGCAGGGTGCCGTGCTGGCGCCGGTAGCCGTGGGCGCCGAGGGCCAGGATGGCCACGCCGTCGCGGACTTTCTGGCGCAGGCTGAGGCGCCAGCTCTCGGTGACGACGCTGATGAGGCCCACGGGGAAGGCGGCGGGGGGCGCGTCGGTGCTGCCCAGCGCCAGGTTGGGCACCAGCCACACGTGCCCGGGCCCCACCAGGCCGGCCTGGGCCGCCTCGGCGAAGAGCACCTCGGCCTCCTCGCGCGAGCAGTAGGCCACCAGCACCGGGGCGTCGAGCTGGCGCAGCAGGCGCTGGGTGTGGGCGCGCGTCCCGCCGGGGCCCAGCTCCAGCGTGAGCACGTCCAGCAGCCGCCAGCCCACGTAGTTGGCGTCGGCGACGGCGCGCACGCTCTCGAGGAAGAGCGTGTGGCCCGGGTGCAGGCTGGTGATCACGGCGAACGCGCTCCAGTCGTACTCCTCCAGCACCTTGAACAGCACCTGCAGCTGCTGCTCCAGGGACACGCCCAGCTGCAGGAAGGCGGAGCCCGGCTCCTAGGGGGGAGGGGCGGGGCCTGAGCGGGGGGTGGGGCGAGCCGAGTCCCGCCCCGCCCCAACTTCCACTCCCTCCGTCAACCCCCACACACCCTTGCGTCGGAAGGTGCTAGGTGTCCCGGGATCCCTAGTCTCGCGATAACCTCCTTCCCGCCCGCCCGCCCCGCACGCGGTTCCCAGCCCCTGCCGCCCATTAGAATGCCCTGGAGAGATTTTTTAAATATTCGTGCCTGACCAAGGCTGGACCGCAAACCAGCAGCAGCGTCAGCTGGGAGCTTGTAGGAAATGCAGATTCTAGGGCGCAGTGCTCACCTGCTGGATCAGAATCCCTGAGGATGGCGCCCGGGAATCTGTATTTCAACAAGCTCTTTAGGTGACTCTTGAGCCTGCTAGTCCAGACCAACTGAGTGGGAATCTTAGACATGGTACACTGGGTGTCTGTATTTTTCTAAAGCACTGTGTGGGTGGAGAACCACCGTGCTGAGAGCTAATGTCAGGCCCACGGGTAACTGGGAAGGCACCATCCTCTATGCAGCCCTGGGGATGAGAATGTTCTTCCTCTCTACTGCCTCTGCCACCACAAACGCCCAGGACACTGCAAGATCGAGCCTGGGCTAGCGCAAGCCTCTCCTAGCTGTGGGTTCCCTGCTGCCACTGCAGCCCCTCCAAGATTTCACCACACTGCGACTGTCCCAATCTTTTAAAAAAGCAACTCCGAGAAAACTCTACAGGACAAGTAACCCAGTTCCTTCAACAAACAAATTTGCAAGGAAAAAAGAGAGAGATGGAGGAGGAGCCTTGAGAGGGAAGACTCCGAAGTCATCCCAACCAATCGCTGGGTGGGAACCTAATCTGGCTCCTGATTCAAGGCAACAGACATAAAAATAAACATTTATGAGACAACACGGAAGATTTGAACACTGCCTGGATTCTCTATGATGTTAAGGAATTTTTATTATTTTTTAGATGTGATGATGTATGGTGGTTTTATTATTTTGTAAAGTCCTACCATCTAGAGATGTGTATTGAAGTATTTATGGATGGAATAAATATTGTGTCTGGGCCTTGCTTCAAAATAAAACAGAAGAGGAGAAGTGGGTGAGAGTAAGGCTGAGGCACAGTTGGCCTGGGGTGGATAGGGGATACATGGGGTCATTATACTCTTCTACTTTTATGTATGCTCAAAATTCCCCATAGGGCTTCCCTGGTGGCGCAGCGGTTGAGAGTCCGCCTGCCGATGCAGGGGATGCGGGTTCGTGCCCCGGTCCGGGAAGATCCCACATGCCGCAGAGCGGCTGGGCCCGTGAGCCATGGCCGCTGAGCCTGCGCGTCTGGAGCCTGCGCTCCGCAGCGGGAGAGGCCACGACAGTGAGAGGCCCGCGTACAGCAAAAAACAAAACAAAACAAAACAAATTCCCCATAATAAAAATATAATCATAAAAGAAAGGCAAATCAGATCAGTCTCCCCTCAACACCTTCTTCAGCTCCTCACTTACTTAGAGTAAAACCCAAGTGTCCTCCCGTGTGGTTGGGACCTCGCCTCCCTCTCCAGGCTCCTCTCGGTTCCTCAGAAACTCTGTGCTTCTTCTCACCTCTGGGTGTCCACACCACCCCCGCTCCCTCCGCCTGGGACGCTCTCCCCCAGTCCGCCCCACACACACACCTTGTCAACCCCCTCATCCTCCAGGTCTCGGCTTAGGTGCCATTTCTTAGGAGACCTTCTCTGACCAATCCCAGACCCAGAAGAGGTCCCACTGGACTCCCTCGGGGCATCCTGTGTTTTTCCTTCAGGACTAGGATCCCAGCTGTGATTGCTGGTGAATGTGTGTTCAGCGCTTTCTCCCCACAGGACAGCAAGGGCATGACCTGCCCTTGGATGTTCCCCGCTGCAGGCCAGCTACATCAGATCCCACACCCAGCCTGGCCCTGCACCTCTGGGTCTGGAGCCTGACCACGGAAGGCCAGGAAAACAGGGAGAAGGTGGGCGAGGGCTGCCCCAGAACCAGAGGTGGGTTTGGTACCTGCCCATCCCTCATCCAGACACAAGTGTGAAAGCAGCTCAGAAAGTTTATCTTCTAGAACATAGAAGCATCATTCCCACAGCCTTCTCCTCCCTCACCCATACCTCCCTCTGCCCTCACCCCCTTGCTGGGCCCACCCAATCCCAGTTTCCCAGGACCTAAGTGTCTCCCTGGCCCAGACTCAGCCCCTCTCCCCCAGCCCCAGCCTGGCTCCAGGCTCATGGGATGTAGGGACATGACTTTGAATGGGCACCTTGGGGGTGAGGACCACAGCAGAGCCCCCACTGATGCTGAGGATAGGCACGTGGGTCTGGAAGGAGATGAAGTCGAGGATCTGGGCCACGGCCTCGGTGTCCACGTTGTCCTCAAAGACGATGCCGTGGACTCGGGCAGTGCCCAGGAGCCCGCAGATCTGGGTGAGAAGACTGCTGGGGTTGGTGTTGTTGACACCCACGGTGAGTGGCTGGATCTCCAGGGGCAGGTCCAGGAAGCTCTGGGGGGTGAGGTGGATACGGGCCTGGGCCTCCAGTGGCCCCGAGCTGCCAAACACCACGGCCACCGTCACAGCCTGCTCGCCCTGCCCTGGGCCCAGCCCTGCCCAGGCACCGAGGAGTGAGGTGAGTAGCAGGACCGGCCCCAGGGCCCCACCCATGTCCACTGGAGGGTCCTGCGGAGAGACCACGATAGGCACAGGGAGGGGGACAGAGGCACGGAGAGAAAAGATGAATGACAGAGAGGAGGCAAAGGCCAGAGTCAGAGGGACACACACCCAGAGGATGAAAGAGAAGAGGGGGAAACCTCCCTCCACAAAGAGAGGCAGAGAGAGGGGGAGACAGACAGACACAGACAGACAAAGAGAAAGAGACAGAGAAGTTAGCTGAGCGTCCAAGCGCAGCCCAGAGGGCAGGACCCGGGAAGAACGTGACCAGAATAGGTGCTCACTACTTCCATTCTACTGTTGAACATCAGGCTTCGCTAGAAAGGCCAGACCTTTGGAAACTCATCCATCTGGGTTCTGCCCCAGGAAGGTTCACAGCAAATGCTAATCTGGTGGGACTCCCCTGGTGGCGCAGTGCTTGGGAGTATGCCTGCCAATGCAGGGGACACAGGTTCAAGCCCTGGTCAGGGAAGATCCCACATGCCGCGGAGCAACTAAGCCCGTGCACCACAACTACTGAGCCTGCGCTCTAGAGCCTGTGAGCCACAACTTCTGAGCCCACGTGCCACAACTACTGAAGCCCATGCGCCTAGAGCCTGTGCTCCGCAACAAGAGAAGCCACCGCAATGAGAAGCCCGCGCACTGCAACAAAGAGTAGCCCCCGCTCGCCACAACTAGAGAAAGCCCGGGTGCAGCAACGAAGACCCAACCCAGCCAAAAATAAATAAATAAATTTATTTTTTTTAAAAAAAAGCTAACCTGGTACCAAGTGCATGGATATGAGTCAGAGAGACCTGAGTTCAAGTCCCAGTTCTGCCACTTACTAACTGTGTGATCTTGGGGAAGTTGCTTAGTCTCTCTGAGCCATGATTTCTTGCCTGCAGTAATCACAGGACCTACTTCACAGCAGTGGGAGGGCTACCCACTGTTATCAGTATCCCTATCCTATAGGTGACAGCCCCACAGCCAGGTAAAGGAAGGCAGCTCTTGTAACACACACACACACACACACACACACACACACACACGCACACCTTCTCCATCCTAAACTGAATCTAACATCCCCAAGGGCCCTGCTCTTCATAATCCTACTTGGCACAAAGCCCCCTCCTCCTGGGCACTGGATATCCCTACTCTACCCTCTGTGGCCTCAATTAGTAGCAGCTCTTCCAGAGCAGGAGTGTGTCACCACTGATTTGTTCAGGGCTCGGGGTATCTCACACATGACCTGCCACCCTAGGCCATCGTTGGTGTGAGGGATTTTTTAACCTACCCCAAGGGCCTGACATGTATCCCTGCGAAACAAACATCATTGCTTTTGGACAAACAGCCACACCGGTGAGTGGTGCCCACGGATACAGCTCTCCCTCCCAGCTGGCCATCGGCCACAGCTTTGCCACCCTCTCCATCTCCATGACATCCCCAGTGAAACTTCTGAACAGGGGAGAGCCAAATGGTGACCAGGCTGGGCTTGGTTTCATTTCAAAATGAGAAGACAGGATTTTGGGGCAGGGGAGGACACACTGTGCTCATTTTTGTGCCCTTGAAATTTCCCCCTGTGTATGGTTTCCCAGTACACTGACTTAGAACATCAGCCCCGAGGCGTGTGATTCTAGGGTGGGAACCTAAGCGTGCCGTGCCCACCACTACCTCAAATGAGGGATTTCAAATCACACCTGCAAAGAGCACTGTCGGGCTCATTTCTTCCTTTGCAATTCCTCTCTGTGCTCATCTCTGCCCACCTCTGTAGGTTCCCCATCCTCTGGGAAGCCCGAAGTTTCCCCACTTATGCCTCCCAGCTCTGAGCTCTAGAACCGCGCTGTCAAATACAGCAGCCTCCAGTCACGTATGACTACTGGGCACTTAAATGTGGCTTGTCCAAACTGAGGTATGCTGTGAAGTGTAATATGCACGCTGGAGAGTGAAGACTTTGTATTACAAAAAGAAAATCTCTCACTAATATTTTTATATGGATTACATGTTGAAGAAATATTTTAGCTAAATTGAGTTAAACAATATAGTGTTAGAATTCATTTCACTTTTCTTTTTCCTTTTTCTAATGTGCCTACATGTGGCTCTCATTTTGTTTCTTTTGGACCACATGACTCTAGATGAAGGACCCAGGTCCTCCCTCAACTCTGAGGGGGGACTGCCCCTAGAAACTCTCTCTGCTGGGAAGGTGTCCTCCAGGACTGGAGATGAGGAGGGATTGCCGAATGCTCCTGGAGGGAGGGGCCCCAATCAGGCCAGTCTCTGAGCTTCAAATAGCAATGGGCAGATTCCAAGAGATTCAGGCTCCAGAGTCTCAGCACCACGTGGCATCCAGCCTCCCCCGCAAGGCAGGAGGTCATCCCCGAGCCCGGGCCTGATCCAATCTCCCACTTGCCTCCCCCTGGCCTCCCACCTCTCCACCTCCCATCCACCCACCCCGCCACCTCCCATCCACCCACCCCGCCTGCCCCACTGGCCTGAAACAGTCCTCTGGCCACTGCACCCCTCCTCAAAGGGCACAGCTGCTCCCTGGTGCCCACTAATGAAGTCCAGACACCTGGGTCCCATGGACAGAGCCCCACGCACCCCAACTGTCCTCCCCTCCGTGCACCCCACACTCCCTCCAGTCTGGTGGCCAGACAGCTCCCCCTGTCGTCATCTCCAGGCCTTTGCTCTGCTGTTCCCTCAGGTTACAATGTCCTCTTCCCGCTGCCTCTCTCTTGTCTACAAGACAAATTCCAGAATTTTCAGAGCCCCACCTAAATCCCTCTCCCACAGAGCACCTGCCTTAGTGCCTGGCGGCTCTGGAAACACGGGTGAGAAGACAGAGGGTCTGGGTCTGGCTGTAAGCCAGTTGCCCTTCTCCCCCGCCCCCAGCCCCATCCCCCAGGTTGGGGAGCTCCTGGCTATGCCTCTGCGCTGTCTCCCTCATCATTGTGCCCCCTGTTGCAGGAATTTGCCCACTCCATGATGCCCCTGCCCCATACTGGACTGTGGTCTTAAGGACCTCTGCCCACCCACTTGCCGTCCGCACCTTTCACAAACGTGCTGTTAATATTTGATGAACTCCCGGACCCCCGAAAGCCCGGCGGAGAGTGGCAATGGCGACACTTCCGGGACACTCAGCATCACCTTGAACGGCCTGAGCACCTCCACGAGCTTAGGGCTCTTCTCTTCCCCCTGCTCCCCCAATCCCAGGCAGGCTCCCGCACACGGACGTGCACGCGCACTCACACTCCAGACATCTGATGGCCGCCCCCTCTTCTAAGCCGGGAGCCTCGGTCCCAGGAGTCGGCCTAACCCACCAACCGCGCTGTTTCCCGGGTACCCAGGGACCCCGGCTGCGCGGCTCCTCTGGATCCGCTGCCCTCAGAGTGAGCGGCCTCAGCTTTGCCGTCGGGTTTCCCTCCCTCCATTTTGCCGAGCTAAGACCTGAACCCAGGCGCCAGGGGAGAAGACCACCCCTCCACCTTGCCCCCACTGGCGCGGTCACCGAGGTCTCCCTCCTCCAAGACGAACCCGCCACCCCCCCCTCCACCAGCTGATTCCTCCCGGAACCCCCGGGGAAATCTCTTACACTCGGGCTGTGAAGTTCTGGGTATTTTTAGGCCAGCGATATATAATTCATAGGGAACGTGGCATCGGGCTCCCCCCGCGGGAGGAGGGGGCGCGAGCGGCGAGGGCCACCGTCACCCGCGGCTCAAGGACACTCGCGATGCGGCGGCAGCAGCGGCGGCAACTCCGGGCGCGGGGACCCGCGCCACGCCTCCTGGCGGCCAAACTGGGCACCACGCACTCCGCGCCCCCCGCCTCGCTGCTACCCTCTGAGGGGGTCCCGGCTCCCAGGTCCCCATCCCCACTGCCCCAAGCTGGGTCGCCACCCCAAGCCCCGCGGGTGGGGGGCGCCGAGTTCGCCTGGCAGGCGGGGCTGTAGGCGGGTACCAGCCCAGCCCTGCCCTAGGGCGAACCCAGGAGTCCGGTTCCCGACCTACCCAGTCCCCTTCACGCTCCTCTTCGAATTCCTAACGGGATTTAGGAGTAGGTTGGAAACGGACTAGCGCAGCCAGAAACTAGACGGGCTCTGAGACTGAGCAGACGAGCTCCCGCCGCCCAAGTTCCTTTCCTCATTTTCTCCATAGACCGGGTCGGATCGAGCCGGGGCGGTGCCACTGTCAGAGGGCTGGGGACTGGGCCCCAAGTCCCGACGGGTGAGCAGTAGGACAAGTGGGGTGAGCCTCAGGGCCCCGCGGGAATTCCCCCTTCGCTCACCCAGCAGGACCTTGGGATGGGTCGTGGAACGCACCCTTGGCGATTTTCTGGCCACTGAGTGCTTTTGCCTTCGTTTGGACCTGGCCCTGCCCACCTAGGCCCGGCACGAACCGCCTTCCGCTGCAGGAGGCTCAGTGGCTCCCCTTCCCCGCCGTCGGGGATCCTGGTCGAAGCCCCGGGGGACCAGAGCAACACGCTGGTGGGGCAGCCAGGGCCCAGCGCACCCAGGCTCTCGGCTCTCCCAGGTCCTCTTCGCCCACCCTTCCTTGCCCCTCCTCGGAGCCTGGGTCCGCCGGGCGCGGGTCCAGCATTTGGGAAGAGCCCACCACCCGGTGAAGCCCACGCTGATTTCCTGAGGTCAGAGGAGGGAGCGCTCTACCGAAGGAAGAGCTGGGAGGGGAGGACCTGGGGGACTTACAGCCGGTGAAGGGGCGGGAGTGTGAAGGCAGATGCGCGCGGTAGGTGCTCAGCAGACCCCCGGGAGCAGGGGGCCGGGCTCCTGGAGCCACCGTCCTCTCTGCTCCGTGCCCTCTCCAGCCCCCTTCGCTCTGGTCGAACCCCCACGGCCCCAGCTCCCAGCCCCGCTCCCCAGCCCCCGCCCGGCTTCCAGCAGCAACAGTTGTGGGGCCCGCAGCCCAGACTCCCACGTCCCCACACCGCACCCTCCCCTGCGGTGCCGCGGTGCCGGGCGAAAGAGCTGGAGGGCTCGGCGACCCAGGAGACGAACGTCTTGGGCGCCTCGCCCGCGCCCTTCCCTCGCGCCCGCCGCGCGCCTGTCACCTCGGCCTCTTCCTCACCTCCTCTCCGCCCGCCCGGGTCCAAACCCCAGGCCCGGTCCCCGAGGGTCCCCCGGCGCCCCCTTCCTGGGGTTCCCTGCGTCCACCAGACTCTCCCCGGTGCCGCGCCATCTGTCTCCGCTGTCCTTGCCCGCGCGGCGCCTGAGCCCAGCCCCAAGTTGGCGGCGAAGTTGGCGCCCCCGGCTCGGCGCCCGCCACTCACCGGGGGGAAGGGGCGCTGCGCCCGCGCCCAGAGCCCGCGCCGGCCGCCTCCCGCGCGCTGCATGTCCCCGCGCCTCGGTTCAGCGCGCTGGCGCGTGCTGTCCTAGCCCGGCGGGCGCCTGAGCTAGGGCGCCGCGGGGCCGGTGCCCGTGGCGCGGCCTGGCGCGCTGGACCGGGCCCGCCCCCCGGGCCCCTCTAGTGGCCCGCTCGGCGCCCGGCTCCGTCCCGGGCTGGGCAGCGCGCCGCGCCCAGGCTTCCAGGGCTCGCCGACCGGCTGTGGCGGAGCGCTTGCCGCCGCCGCCACCCGCGCGGGCCCGCCCCACCGGGGCCCGCAGCCTCCGCCCCGCCCCGGCCCGCCCCGGCCGGCCCACCCCGCCGCCCGCTCCCGTGCTGTTCTAGGGCTCTTGTTGCCCGCCCTCGCGTCCCTTCTCCCCTCTCCACGACTGTGTCCCCAGACCCGACAGGACACTCGGGACCAAGCGCAACCTCGGAGAAAACAGGCTGCCCGGAACCCTGGGTTCGAGCCCGAAGCTCACTGGGTGTGTGACCTTGGGCCGGTTAATTCCGAGAAGCCCCCTGTCTATAAAGTGAGGTCAACATCTTGGGGCCTGGTGTAAAAGATGGAGAACAGGCTACGGACATTGAGGTACTATTTTTTCAAGGCTTGTCAGTCTGGCTGGAAACCAACAAAGGCGGGAAGGACAGAGTGGGGGACCCGCACCAGACAGAGGGGCCACAGGGAGTAGATGGGGCAAGTTGCTGCCCAGCTCTCTCTTTTCTTGTTTGGGTTGTACTGGGGACTAACCAGGGAGGGGACCCAGGAGTAGGGCCAGCAGAGCAGGCAAGGTGCCTGCCGTGTGGGCAGAAGGCAGGTAGGCTGCCGCAGCAGGGCCAAGCTGGGAAAAAGACGGTGGGTGCCAGCACTGGCTGCCAAAACCCCTCAAGCCCCCAGGAGGCCCCTGAACAGGGAGCTGGCTCTGCAGCGCCACCTGGTGACTGGAGGGGAGCTGCAGCTGGAAGGTGACCCCGGGCCCAGGAAGAAGTCGCACATCAACCACTGTCCCTCGGTTGCAGATGTTTTATTTCCAGCATATTTCCGACCTGGTGACCCTCCAAAGTCCAGCAGGAGATAGGCAGGGGGGAGGAAGGTCAGCCTGCACCTGCACCCATCCCTAACTAAGGTTATCTCCTTGCTGAGAGTTACCCACAGTGGCAAGAGCGACTTTCTGGTACGAGGAAATGCTCAGAGGCCCCTGGCAAAGGGGCAGCCAAGGCCCCACGCCAGGACGGCCAGGCGATGCAGCTGTGGCGCAGAGTCCTGCTCAGACTGACCCCGATCCCTCTTCCCCGCACAGCACTGCTCCCCTCCGTGCCTGCCTGGGATCTGGTCTCAGCGTCCCAGCAGCCGCAGCATCTCCTGAGGATCCAGCAGCTTCTCCCTGGGCTTCCCCGCACCCTGGCCCCGGGACACCTCCTCAGCATCCAGCTTCTCCCAGTCCGAGAAGGAAACAGGCCAGACCCCTGTGGCAGAGGGAAGACGGGTCACTGCTTTCACCTCCTCCTCTACCCCAGCCCAGAGCAGCCCCCTTCCAAACAGTGAAAGGCCCAGGGACCCCCCCGACCCCACCTCCCAGGAGCTCACACAGGGCCCAGACCTCGGCTGCCGAGCAGGGCCTTGATGGCCGCATAGCCAGGCCTGGGGCCAGACGGCAGCAGCCCCGCTTTCAGGTCCTGCAGCAGAATCTGGCCGGTGACGAAGCTGTCAGTCATGGTAGTGGTGATGACACCTGTGGGCCCCCGCTTCACCCAGCCGCTGCAGTAGAGGCCTTGGAGAGGGGTAACAAAGGGGTAAGGAATGGGGAGTTGGCTGGACACCCCTGGCAAGCCTGGGCCTCAGTACACACACATGTACACACGCCTCCATACGCCCCACGGCCTCCCAGCATCCATCAGCTGGGCCCACTCTGGCCGCTGGCCCACTGCCCTCAATGCTTCCCAACCTGTATTTACCATGCCATCCCCCTTACACCTCAGTGTCCCTGTAGACCAGGAGCTCCCTGTAGGAGCTGGGTCCTGCCCACCTTGTTTCAACAGGCTCTCAGTAAACAGTGAACGAATTAATGAATGACTAGACAGGTCTGTGGATATTAAATCAGGCTGGAAGCTCGCTGAGGCCAAGGGGCTGCTGCTTCATCTCCAGTCCCAGCACTAGGCCTAGCCCAGAGCAGGCCTCAGTAAACTGAATGACTTAATAACCAGACATATGTGTGGGCATCTCAGCTAGACTGGGAGCTTCCTCTAGGGCCAGGAGGAGGCTGGGGCAGGGCCAGGGTCTTGGGACAGGGCCTGGCTCAGAGCAGGTTCTCAATGCATGTCACCAGATGAATGAATGAATGTGAATGGCCTCGGGAGACACCAGCCTCCCTGTCCCCCACTGCACCCTCTCACCTGGCACATCCACAACCCGGCCCTCCATATTGGGGATGACCCCCAGTTTGGGGTCAAAGGGCACACTGGGGTCGATGGGGCAGCTCTTATACCCAATGCTGCTCAGCACCAGCCCACAGGGGAGGTCCTCCACGTCTCCAGTGGGCACTGCCCGGGTGGCCTCACCAACACCCTGTGGGGAGAGGGTGGGAAGCAGCAGGCTGGGGCTGGGGAGATTTGAGAATGGGGGTGTCTTTGGGTAACAGGAGACTCACCTCCAGTCTGGTGACTGCCAGGCGGATGCCTGCCACTCGCCGCCCGTCTGGCGAGGGCAGCACCCGCTGAGGGCTTCGGAGAAAGCGGAGGCCCCAGGCGCGGGGGGCCGGTGCCCGGCGGGCAGCCTCCGCCACCCCTGGCTTCTCCACGGCTGCGCGAAGCAGTAGTTCCATCAACCGCTTCCTCGGGCGAGGGGCCTCTGTTAGCAACACAGCGCATCTCAGGGCGGCGCCCGGGTTACAGCCCTCTCCCACCTAGACCATCCCCTCCCTAGTGAGCCGGGGGGCCGGGCCAGGGCCCCTCACCCTTGATTCTGTCCTGAAGGCCCAAGAAATCCACAGGATCCAAAATGGGCCGAGTTCCTGGTAACTGAATCATCTCCCGAAGCTCCTTGGCGGTGTGGGCGGGGAGTGGGGGAGGAGTCAGGCCCAGAGCGCTGTCCACTCCTGAGCCCAGCCCAGGTGGGAGACACCACCAGCTCCCACCAGCACGGAAGGCACTGGGCCCCAGGGGGGGCCCTGCCTGGCTCTCCCTCTTCCACCCCAGGCAGCTCTGCCCTGCCACACCCCCCAAGGAGCAGACCATCTACTTGGGACCCTGGCCCCTCTCCCTCAGGCCCCAGCACCTTAATGGTGAAGGCCACTTGCAGGGGTCCACGTCGGCCCACTATCCACACCGTCTTCACCTGACTCTGTCTCAGTGCCCCCAGGGCAGCCTCCGTGATATCCGTTTTCTGGCACAAAAGGAGGACCTTAAAGTCGTTGGACACTGACAGCAGAAGGGGGACCTCTCCATTGGCTGGGCGGTGAGAAGGTTGGCAGCCTGAAATGGCACCACTGCCCATCCCCCCGGTGGCCGGATGGAGCACTGCTGCCAATTCTGAGAATGGCTCCAATTAGTAGCAAACCAGGCCCGCGCTCTTCATTCAACAAGTGTTTACTGAGTGTTTACCACGTGCCAGACACTGTGCAAAGGGCATGGATGGGGGGGTGTCAATGTTGAGCAAAAGACACGTGGTACTGGCCTTCACAGAGCTTCTGATCTGGTGGAGAGAGAGACTTATCGAATATTCAATAAAAAGTATAAAATTGCAGTGGTGACAACATGCTTTGAAACAGAAGTAGCCAAGTCTATGGGAGGAGAGTATTACAGGGAAATGGACCTATTCAGGTCCATGGAGGCTTCCTGGAGGAAGGGAGAACTGAACCAAGAACTAAAAGATGCAAACAGGCTAACGGGCAGGAGGGGAGCTGAGAGGGTTCTGAGCAAGAGGAATGGTGTGTGTATACTGAAAACTTTTTTTAAAAAAGCCTATGGGGGCTTCCCTGGTGGCGCAGTGGTTGAGAGTCCTCCTGCCGATGCAGGGGACGTGGGTTCGTGCCCCGGTCCGGGAAGATCCCACATGCCGCAGAGCGGCTGGGCCCGTGAGCCATGGCCGCTGAGCCTGCGCGTCCGGAGCCTGTGCTCCGCAACGGGAGAGGCCGCAGCAGTGAGAGGCCCGTGTACAGCGCAAAAAAAAAAAAAAAAAAAAAAGCCTATGTAGCTGCAGAATGTGAAGGGGGAAATGGTATGAGCTGAAGCTCACGGGCTGCCTTCTAGAAGGCCTTTGCCCAGCACCAAGGGGAAACAGA